CTAAACTCGAAAAGGTGTTCTGAGAACTATTATTCACCAGATTTTACTTAAATTGGACCAAATTAGGAACGCGCGCCTAATCCAGTTTAAAATGATATTCTTTTAAAGTCCAAAGTGCTTTAAATAGCCGAACTTTTCTAGAAACCAAGTGTCACTTGATTAGTACTTGCTGCCTCGTTAAGTGGTTTTTGCTAATCAAGGTTCTCTAACTGATTTTTTTAAATAACCGTAGTGTTACTGCAAAGTTGTTATGGTGATGTTTTCCACAAATCTTAATGCGCTATTCTTAGTAGTAACTTAAGGGTTGGTCTTTGGGTTGCTAAGGGTAGTAGGGTTTAGAGTTAGGGTTGGTTTTAACATGAGCTAATATGAATGGGAAAATAGGGAAGAACCGTTGGTGGACCTCTTCTTCAGCCTAACCCTGAGTTTAATTAGCAGTTTAATTTCAGAATCAAGGCATAATTAATTAATTAATCAGATTTGTTCAGTTTATTTTCTATTAAAAACTATAAGTATTTTCAAAATGGTTTAAGTCAATTATTATTGTCTACGTTTTTATAAAGTTTATCGTGTGATTATTTTTGTGTGTTTGTTTCTCCCTGAGTGTTCTTCTGAGTTCGAGTTGCTGATGTAGTTCCATCTCTTATCTGTTATCCTTTATCTTTATTTTATTTGCATTTTTGTTTCTTTTTAGAATTTATCATTCAAACCCCCCCATATCCTTTAGTTTTAGGTTTTAGATTTTAGTTAGTAGTTTTTATTCCATAAAAGTGACAAAGTAAACTGATTTTCATAGCCTAAAAAGTATCTTTCCTCGTGGGATCGACCCTTACTTACCCTATCTATATGTTTTGATGAATATTGAATCATAAAGATGGTTAAGAGTTAAGGAAAATAATAAATTAATTTGTAGGTGCTACGACACGCCTAACAAATTTTGGCGCCGTTGCCGGGGAAAGCTTAACTTTTTATGAGAGTCAGTTTGTTTTTCAAAAAAAAAAAAGTCAATAAATATGAAAAACACAAAAAAACATATAAAATAAAGAAACCTAAAAAAAAACTAAAAAAGAATCTGAGCAAATCTGAGCCAAGGGAGCAAAGAAGTTTGTTTTTAGTTTTTCTACTGTCTAAATCTATTTTTAAGAAAAAAAGGTTGGGGAGTGGTGTGATATGTTGCTCAAAAGTGAGATATCGATACTTTCCATGCCTAATGCCCTGCTCCTTATAAATATATCATTCGTTGTTTTTTTAAAAAAAGAAGAAAGCTCACCAAAAACAGGGTTCCAAATAAAAATGAAAAAAGAACTATGCCCCAGAGCATCTAGCAAACTTTGGTGTAATTACAAGGACATGAGATCGTTTTAAGTGCTTTGGTGTCGTGGATTTGATATTTTACTTGTGAGTACAGGAAAAAATAGCACGCAGTAACAAAGCAAGGTTAAATACAAAATATAAGGAGAAAAGGCTTGACCAAAACAGAAGGGAAATTGCTGCATTTGCTATACATTTCAGGATTATGAAAAGCAACAGGTGAATTGTGCTAAAGAAAGAAGATTGGATGATCCAGTTTTAAATGCAATATGCCGTTTAAGAGAAGGGCATATGGCAGGAGCAATAATGCAACTTCACAAGGAGCTTATCATCAAATGAACGTTGCCTTGGACTGGATCACCCAGACACTGCCAAAAGTCATGGAAATACGGCGATATTCTACCACGGACTTAACCAAACAGAGCTCTCCTTGCGGCATATGTCAAGGGTATTACTTCTTCTAGGGTTATCTTTTGGTCCCGACCATCCTGATGTTGCAACATTATATTAGAAAGGTAGATACTAGTCTTCGATACCTAAAAGAAGCTTTAAAGAAGAATGAGAGGCTCCTAGCTAGGTGAAGATCATATTCAAACTGCTTTCTGCTATCAAGCACTGGCAAATCGTGTTTAATCCCATGGGTGCTTTGAAGCTGGCGTACCAGCATGAAATGAAGACATTTGATGTATTAGCAAAACAACTTGGAGAGGATGATTTAAGGATGATGGAGGCTCAGACTCTCAGGAGAACATGAAAACATGTAAAAAGAATGAGATGAATGCTCAAAAGCAGAAAGATCAAGCTCTAAATGCAGCTGCTTCAGCTCACAAAGCTTGTGACATCTTGATGGCGAACCCAAGTCTAAAACAAGCATTTCAAGCTGCCAGTGAGAAGCAATCTCTGAATGCTGCCGCCGTTATACCCCCTAGATTGGCAGGGGAGTCGACGAACCAGCTGTCCGAGCAGCTCCAGAAGCGAGGAAGAAAGTTTTTGCAAGGGGACTTTGCCTACGTCCTAATGCCTCCGGTTCTGGGCAGGGCCCACTCTCTGAATTAACCAAAGCGATAAGCTCCGGGAACAACACATCATCTGCTCTGAACAACTGAAGGGTCCAATGCCGAACAAAGAGCGGGCAGTGTTCAAACACACCTGCAGGGGTAAAGGCGACCAACCAAAACCCAATCCAGTCCCGGTTGGATTAGGCACTTGTTTGTCATCGTTGGATCCAAAGAAGCCGAAGTCTAAATTCAAGGCTGGTGCATCATGAAGCTCTCACACCATAGCACAGCTAAGTATCACTTAAACTTTACCTGCCCCTAATTAGGTGTGTTGCTAGGAGATAATTTATTTCCTTTCTCTTTCAGTTTCTCTGCAAATTGATGCAAATTAAAAAAAATTCTTCTTCTACTTGGATGGTTGATTTTTATCTTTTTATTTATACCCTCTAATCTTATAATCTGGTTGCCTTATTTGTTACGTTTAAAATAAAGTTTGGGAAATAACAAAGACAGGACCACTAGAAATAACCACAATCGGCAAGTAGGAGTAAAAAAAAGTAAAAACATAGTCCAAACAAATCAAAGAGAAAAAAAAAATAAAACAAAATTCTTTAAAAGTGTCAGGCTCAACTTAAAAAAAGGTTCAATCGGATTAAAGGAAAATGAATTAAATAAAAAATCTGTTTTGAAATTAAATAAAACACACCGATCCAAAAAAAAAAAAGAGGAAACGTAGTGAAAAAGGTCCCGGAACTAAATTGAAAGTATAAAAAACAGTTTCAGTAAGTTTTACAAGAAAGAAGTATTTTCCAAATACTCTTTTATGTGTTTGGGTGTAATTCAAGTTATTTGTGCTTTGCAAGTAATCACCCCACATCATAACATCCAATTTTTTAGAAACTTGATCACTTTTTGAGAAATTTTGTTGTTAGAGCTTTATGTGTTTATTTGGAAAATACACTTATGAATATTACTAAAACTAGTTTATATTGCTTACTTTGACCTTGTGATTAGCTATTGGTTTGTTTTGGAGTGTTGTTTTGAGTGATCACAGGTTATTAAGAGTACGATATGAATTCTCCATGTTGTCCTGAGCAGAACAACGAGTCTAGCCGCAGACATTAAAAGATGGCAGCTTTCTGGGAGGCAACCCAAATATTTAAACTTTTACTTTTATGCATTTTATTTACTTTTTTTTCTTTTTGTTTTATTCTCGTCTTTACTTGCACTTTGTCTGGCTTGTCTGCCATGCATGCTTAATTGTCATATCTTATAATCCCCTCCCTATCATTTTGCATCTGTTTTATTGTTTTTCATGTTTCATGTTGTTAATTTTCTCATTAAATATGTGCATTCGTTCATCATTTTTATATCTTTGACATGCATTGAGGACACTGCATGATTTAAGTGTGGGGGGACGCTTCTGCATTTAGTTATGCATATTTTCGGGGAAAAAATGATTTTGCATGTTTTCATACACATACTAGGAGCATGAATTGGGTAGAAAAAAAAGACATTTCATAGCATTTTAGACGCAATTTGTTTAAAAAAAAATTAAATTTTTAAAAGTTTTTGAAGAAAACAATTATCTTTCACATGAAAATCTATATAAGAAAAGGAGAGTTTCGAGAAAAATTAGAAATCATTATAGTTTCTTTTAATCTTTTAGCACTCTTAAGTGTTGCATTTTTGCATTAAATTGAAATTAATTTTGTAACAAGTATGTTTGAATTTCTTTATAAATGAGTTTGCTACTAAAAACTTTAAATCATTTCTTTTAAGTCAAATCTATTTGGAAGTTATTTTTGTTTAATTTCATACCTTTTAGTTAGTTAAGTTCAATGTGCACGATTTATTTAGAAATACATTGAGCAGTTTTCCAACTAACTTTTTTTTGTTCTAAGTTGCTATTCAAGTAAAGTTAGTCTTTAGAAAATCTTTTTCTTTTCTAAATTTTGGTTATTTACATGTTATCAAAAAGCTGAAAAATTGAATATATATACTGGAACACCATCTTAGGTTGGCATGGGTGGCACGGCACCTTTGTCCCCTTAAGCAACAGATCCCAAAAGGAAGTAATGTTGTGTATGGAGAAAACCTGTGTTGGCAGAGCAAACCCCGTTTTGGGCCGTACGAATCTCGTCCATAACCAGTTAAAAAAAAAAAGAAAAAAAACCGACGCCATTGAGCCAAAAGAAAAAAAGTGCAATAAATGGCTAGGTAAAAGTAAGAAAAAAGAATATAAATGAATAAAAATATTGTTTGAGCACTCGAGTTAAAACCCTTGGAATACTTCGTTTATTTAGGTCCCGGGCTATCTGGAATGGGCCTGGGGTAACCTGGTTGAGACTCGCTACACGGGTCAACTCAAACAATTAAAATTAAATATTGAATTAAAGCAATAAATATAAGTTTAATTTCCAAATTTCGGAAAAGAAAATAAATTTTCTTGAGCTTTTCTTTACTTGATTGTTTCTTAGGATTTCTAACCACTTTTTGCTGCTCTATTTATTTCTTTTAAATTGTTCTCAATGACCTTAGCTAATTCAAAGTTTTGACATTAAATAAAAATATTTTCTAGTTAACCTTGAAGTGAAAGAACTGTTTTAAAATTTAAAGTAGTAAATTGATTTTTAATGTGTTTATTCTATTTGGTACATGGTTAATTTTTAGTTAATGTTTCATGCAACACTTTAGACTGTTTTAAGATTTAGAAATTATTTTGAGTTTTAATTTCAACCAAAAAGGGAAAATGATTTTCAATATCAACTTTGCACGAGGACGTGCAAAAGTCTAAGTGTGGGGTACGTGTTGAGTCACAAAATGTCATATTTGATTCTCTCATTTTTTAGTACTTTTAATATGTTTTATATGCATTTTATACTGAAATAAATATATTTGGTTACATTTAGCATTTTAGGCTATTGTTTACTTTTTATACATAAAATGCATGATTTTGAGCGTATTTATATTTATTAATTAATTTAGAGTGTTATTTTCCTTAATTAATATTTTTTAGATATATTTTGGAGTAAAAAAGGCCGCGGAAGAAAGTGAAGAATAGGCCCAGGCAAGACATCTATTTGGCCCATCATAAACCAATGCGGAGAAAATCAAAAGGAAAGCAAAAAA